TACCCACTCTGTAACTGCTAGCTACAACAGCTTGACACCTGAAGGACAGGACAACCTCCATGGGTGTTATTTTTTATTTTGATTAAGAGTCTCAGTGTGTACGATATCAAAGTTGTGCTGTAAACTTCCTCCTTGGTCCCTGCTACACGTCCCTCCCCATTTCCTCATCTCTCGTCCTTGTTTATATGTCCTGCCATATTCTTTCCTGTCGAAAGATTCGTGTTTATAGAAACTTTACTTAAAATTACTTGTATAGCTTCTAGAGCCATAGTGGAAGATGCTAGATAACTCTCACAGAAAGACTAGCAACAATACAAGTGAAAGAGCACCTCTGATGTCTTACCTTGCACATTTACATCCAATAACTTCTCCTTTCCACAAATCTTCATTCCACATTTAAGACACAACTATTGGCCACTTCTCATCCACAGCAAAAGAAAAATAAGGAAACTAAGACTCAGAGTAGAAACTAGTCTACAGAAACCATGGCCTTATCTACCCTGAGACCAGCTGAACTAGATGGTGTCCAGCTACCATTCTGTTTAGGCCCACAAGAGCTGGATCCTGACAGAAGAGGTGAAAATGTAGAACAAAACTCACATTCTTCAAAAATCGAGACTTACTTGGCCAGTTGAGACTAGAGGACTCCCCAAGACTATTATCCTGAAATGTTTCATAAACCTTGAGCCCAAACTACCCCGAGGTCACTTTTTAGCTAACAAAGTGGCTCGTAAAATAAAGAACATAGTACTGCGCTCCTTTAAAAAAAATCATCTCTCTGAGACCAAACAGTCAATAATTACTCTAGAGCAAAGATGAGGGGGGAAGAGGGCAGGGAGGTCCGAGTACTGGAAACAAAACATCCAGAATGGAATTAATGAGAATGTTGACATATTGTAAAAAAATGTCACCAATGTCATTGAACAATTTGTGTAGTAATAGTTAAATGAGAACCCAATTTGCTGGGCAAAGTTTCACCTTAAACACAATAAAATAGTATTTTTTAAAAAATCTTCATTATACTTTATGGTGGTGGCACTCCAATGATAACATTATCATTTAATGAATAAGTGAAGATTACTTGAATGCTGCAAGCAAGCCCAGAAGAGAGGCCGGGACACTACATATAAAAGGAGGTTGCTTAATAGCATCATGTTAAATAATTGCTCATCTATGAGGTCACAGAATAAGTCATTAGGACCATTAGTGTGCCCTGGGAAAAAACACAAAAAGCCCTCTCCTGGCTTCTGTCACCAAGCTATAATTTCTTTGCAAAATATCTTTTCCCAGTGGTCAACAGAAAACAAACTGGAACTTTTTGGTATCAGCCCAAATGGAATAAGCTCATGCCAGCCTCTCTCCCCCACTGATTACAACTAAAACCTCTGAATAAAATATAAGAAGCAACTACCTGTGCACAAAATACTACAGCAGTAGGAACGGTAAGGAAAGGCAAAATGTAGGCAACTAGTAAATGGTGAAACCATGGAGGCCTGAAGACAGCAGAACATTATCCTTAAATTGTTGAAAGAAAAGAACTGTCAACTCAGAATTCTACACACAGCAAAAATAGCCTTAGAAAGGAAAGCAAAATAAAGACATTCTCAGAGGAGAGAAAACTAAGAGAATCTGCACCAGAAGACCTGCACTAAAATAAATGCCATGTTGTTGTTGTTGTTGTTATTTGCCGTCGAGTCGGCCCCGACTCATAGCGACCCCTCCTTGGGTTTCCGAGGCAGTATTACTACGGAAGTAGGATTGCCCCACCTTCCTTCCGAGGAGTGGCTGGTGGGTTTGAACCGCCAGCCTTCTGGTTAGCAGTCAAGTGCCTTAGGCACTATGCTACCAGAGCTCCCAAAATGCCATAGGAAGTCCAAACGGCTGAAGGGAAATGACAGCAGACGTAAACTTGGAACTTTAGGAATGAAGGAAGAGCAGCCAAAATAGTAAACATCTGGGTAAATGGAACAGACTATTTTCTCCTCTTAAATTCTTTAAAGTACATATGACTGTTGAAAGCAAAAATGATAACATTGATGGGGCTTTCAATGTATGTAGATGTAATAATACAAAGGAAAAAATAACATAAATGGAAAACAGGAAACAGTAAATACAACATAGATTAGGTAAAGATCCTATTTGGTTGTAAGGATTCAAAGTTTTATATGAACTTGTAAAAAATAACTCTAAATAGACTTCAAAAAGTTAGTTGTATTTAAACTCCTAGAACAACCACTTAAAAATAATACAAAGACAAAGAGACAATGTTGTTGTTGTTGAGTCGGCTCTGAGTCATAGCAACCCCTGCACCAGCCTCATAGTCCTTGCTATACCTGAGCCCATCGTTACAGCCACCGTGCCAATCCATCTTGTTGCCAGGCCTTCCCCTTTTTCACTGACCCACTACTTTGACCAAGCATGATATCCTTCTCCTGAAGGAGACTGGTCCCTTCTGACAACATGACCAAAGTAGGTGAGATGAAGTCTGGCCATTCTCACTTCCAAGGAGCATTCCGGCTGCACTCCTTCCAGGAGAGATCTGTTAGTTCTTCTGGCAGTGCATGGTACTTTCAGTATTCTTCACCAACACATCTGAAAAGCATCAACTCTTCTTTGGTCTTCCTTATTCATTGTCCATCTCTCATAAGCATATGAGGCTATTGAAAATACCGTGCCTTAGAGACAACATAGATGAACCTTTTGCACGTACAGTGCATTGTCTGTGAAGGCAAACATTGATATATGGGTGGATAGATGGGTGGGGAGGCTGAACTATTAGGTATGTTTATGCACGGGGGGAGTGTGCCCATGACCATGTATAGGGCTGGATGACAACAGTTCTACAAGTGTATTTGTATGTTCTGTAAGAATGTCCACATATATAATAGAGCTGACAAGGGACAAGGTTGTAGTCACTTCTTGGCCACAGCCAGCTACTAGAGAGAACAAGTAGTTGGACCTGTGGGGCCGGGACCATAGTTGCTGGGGACATCAAACTCAATTGGCATAACATACTGCACAAAAACATTGTTCCACATTCTACTTTGGCAAGTAGCGACTGGGATCTTAAAAGCTTGCAAGCAGATATCTAGATGCAAAGATGGGTCTCTCCTTGTCCAGAACAAAGAAGAATGAAGAAAACCAAAGATGCAGGGAAACAATTAGTCCAAGTGACCGGGACACCATGCAATTCTTAGCCTATATGACTATGAGACCAGAAGAACTAGATGGTGCCCAGCCAGCACTGTCTACCACTCAGAGGGGGATCTATGTAGGAGATCCTCGATAGAATGGGAGAACAATGTGGAATGAAATAAAATCATTAAAGAAAAAAAAAAAGGGACC